AAAGCTTCAAAACTAATTTATCTTAGTAGGATGGCCATAGCTTTGGTATGTTGAGAAGAAAGAAGGTTGTTAGCTGGCTTCTTGCAGTTCCCATGTCCAGAGCTGCTGAAGCAAACCAGAAACCTCATGTGTTTGAGTGATTTAAGTATACCAGTACCAAAGAGGTAGACAATTTTTTGCAGGACTGTCAGAATTCATTGGTAAATGTTGCAGAGCCTCATCAGTCTAGTCAGAACTGAGTAATAGTTTCAATGAATTATCTAATTTCTGTTTGCGACCTGAGACCTTCCAGTATTAGAAATGAGCCTACAAGAGCATGTAATATCACAGAGTGCAAGATACTGCATGTATGGATTAATAACTATTTGTAGTGTGAATCCAGGAACCCTCCAGCAGAGTAATGGGAAAATACCTGGGTTTATTAGCCAACGATGAAAGGAACCTGCCAATTTAATGTGGCTGTGAAAAAAGAGTGTGACAGTGTTGTGCACACAGCCAAGCTTCTGGGTGACTGGTGAGACATTACTGTATCCAGTTCTGATAAATCGTGTCCAGGAAAGAGGAATTTGTACAGAAGTACTTCCAGGAGGGTTACTGGAGATGAACAAAGCTTATCCCAGAGCAGACTGGAAATATTTGTCTGATTAATCTAGGAAAAGCAAATGCAGGGGAGGGTTATGAGTAACTAGTGAGGCAAGGTGGAGTCAAGCTCAAGTGAGTAGGCATTTGAGCTAATGAGCAACACTGATGGAAGAGCAYGGTTCTAAACTGATTATAACCTAGACAGAAAACTAAACCCTATCTCAGCACACTGAGGGGTTTGTCTTCCATGAAGAACAGTGAAAATGGACTTAGCTAACAGGCTTTAAAATGTGTAGTGCATCAGAATAGGAAGATTACATGTAATTATATAAATAGATTTAAATGATCAGTGTTGAAAAGAGGAGTTTTAGGCCTCCCTGTGTCATTCTGAGACTGAAGCAAACTTCTGAAGTTCAGCAGAAAAAAAGCTGTTCTCAGAAAAAAAGTTGTCAACTACTGGTTMATGATGAGGAGTATAGGAAGGCAGCAGTTCAGAAATAGGTAACAAGAATGCTCCCACTAAGGAGATTAGTCTCTTAGATTTGATGGACAGCAAAATGTTATTTTGCTTAATAATGTATGCAGGTACCTAAGAAATGTAGAAACTGGAAATACAGAGGAGTGATGGAGGATGTAAAAGAAAATGTGGGATAATCATCTAGAGGAGGTACTTGATGCCATGAATGCATGACTGTTCCCAAGGATCTTACCATTGCGGTTCTGAGGCTGAACATCATGTCATTGCTTCGTTTTTCTAGCCTTCATTTTTGATTGTAATGCATCTGACACGAACAAAACAACACCTAATACGTTGTGGAGTAACGTAATAAGTGCTGGAGGCTCAGCCCTATAACCAAAAACAGTATCAGTTATGTGGAGTTATTTATTGTGAGCTGAAGAACATGGGGCCATTTAGTTGCTGCCACTCTTTCTTTAATGTGTGTTGCTTATACTTCTGCTATTTACTGAAGAATGGGAGGGAAAAAAAAAAGATAGTAAATTTGCAGGGAAAGAGAAACTTCTTGCCACAAGATTGAATTGGGCAACGCTTGCCAGGCAAATACCTCAGCCCACAGCATGCTTTCCCAGCATGACTTCCTTTGTAGCTTCTCACAGGAGACTCGAGAGTCATCTAGTCCCCCTGTGCTGTACAGCTGGGCTTTTGCCGACTTCCTAGGATTTAGGAACTTCAGTTTTATTGCTCACTTCTCAAGTCTTTTTATGTCTTGTATCGAGCGCTCTTATTTCAAGCTTCAGTGGCCTGYGGCTTACCGCACTGTTTTATGGTARCCTGAAGTTTCTCAGTAAATATTGAATTTTTATCTTGCGCAGCAGCCAACACAATGGTTTGTAATTTTTTGCTACCTATTGTAGCCTCTAACTGTGTGTTAGGGTATGTATTTAAAAGAGGAAAAGGGCCTCTAATATCTGTTTCTGCTCCAAAGGCAGACTTTRCCAATTCTTCACTACTAACGGCATCAGTCGTAAGATGTAAAGTAGCAGTATGAAAAATTGGGGAATCCATAGTTCCCTCCCTCTGTGAGCTGATGATGGTCTTCTGACTCTGAAGCACAAGAAAATGTGTGAGATAAAGCTACAGACTTTTCTTATGTACATTTGTTTTCCATGGTCACGTGTTCTTTTAAGTGCATATTAGTAGAAGAGCATGATTTGCTGTCCTTGCTTAGCATCATGTCTTTACATTCAGGCTGTCAATGCAATTATGTCATCACATGGATTTCTCCTAACTGGGTGTCATTACGGTATTTTGGAAGTGTTAAGGATTGAGATTTTGCTTAGTCTTAAATATTTCTTGCTAAATTAATGATCTTATTAGTACTGTCCATAAAGTTGTTGTCAAATGGATGCAAATAGCTGTAGTGAAAGGTGGGTGACATGGCTTACCCTGTCCTTGGCATTTTCAGGTGATCACACTGGTAATTTCCCTTTCATGCTGGCCTTAACACAGTCCCATTTTTTTTACCAAGTGCAGAATTGTCAATGTTTGGCACCTTTGTKCATGCTTTCTAGGTGAGAGCAGGAACGATCTGCATGTACTTGTAAAGGCAAAGGAGATTGGACCTCCTCCGTCATGTCTGGCTGCAGTCGGGTGGCAGCTCAGATCACCCAAGAGCTCATCAGTGACAGTCTGCACTGTTTCCAGTCTGGTGGAGGGAGTAGGATTTGGGATTTAACTTACCACACTGGAAAAGCATGTTACAGAAGCAAGGTTTTATTAACTTCACTGCTTGCAGGCCAGATTGGTTTTGCTGGGTTTTTTTTGTTTTGTTCTTAAGCAAATCTAAGCGCTTGTTTGGAAGGTATAGTGAGCATGCTTTGGTTTTGTAGTGATGAAGCCTGGTGTGAGCTCTGAGTGGGGTGACTTTWGTGTCTGAGTCAAGCCTCACTGAAGTCAGTCACTTGCTCTGTGCAAAGGTGAGATAGCAGCTCTCCACATGACCTCAGTGTAAGGGAGAGTCAGAATCTGCAGTGATAAATTACAGTTGTCAGTACATGTCTGCATTGGCTGGGGCTAACAGTTCCCTACATGCAGGGATTCATTCCCATGTGCCATCGTGGGCTCAGCGTCCTAAACTGGTAAATGAGACTGATCTGTCCAGTTTAGCAAATGCCATGGTCATCTGTATCGCTCTGCTTTAGCTCTGGTACCTGGTTTTGGGAAGACAGTTCACAAAGCTGAGGTAAGCACTAGGAAATTCTTGGCAAAAGTGAGACTTTAGCACTTGGATTCCCAGCAGCCAAGCATGCTGAGTGGGGCGATTTTAAACCAGATGATTGGAAATGTTCTTTGGGAAACTCTTTTCTCCTCAGTTTTACTTGCTTATAGCCTTCACTTAAGCATATTTAGAGTCAGAGAGCCAAAATCAGAAGTGGTTTCTTGCCTTTCCTG